AATATCCTGCAAAATATGTACTCAAGTAAAAGTAGAAGTGCTACATCAACAATCTTACTTAAGTGAAAGTACTAAGTAATTACTTTTAAATTTACTTTAAAGTATTTTTTTAAGTAAAAGTACTCACACAATGGTTTGTCTCAACGTCTCGGGTGTGCCATTTTGTAAAAGAATAGTAGATATACTAACTTACGCCTCTACCGATGTCATTGCTCGTAATAATTACTAGCAACTACGCAGTATATGTGTATTGGAAAGTTGGGTGTGCTTATTGCAATACTCTACAATACTGTGTGTACCCTAACTTAGAATTATGTGGATGACAAGTTATCTACTAGGTATTACCCACTAATATACCATTAAGATAAACCAATCAGGACATGATACATCTTTAAATCATTTATGTACTTGCAAAACTATTCAACACATCTGTTAAGAGCAGTAAAAGGGAAACACACCAGTAACCAAACACTAGTGGTGGGGTGGCGTCATGTTGAACTAGTGTCTCGTCTTCTTGAAATCCAGCCAGTCTACCAGCTCCTGCTGCTAATTGACGCGCTCTGCCATCATTGGAGCTAATAAAGCCACCTGATTGGTAGGAAATGGCAAACAACGCCAGAACGCAATAGGCTAACTATTTTTTCATGCAAGATTTTGAGGAAATTGCGTTCAGAAAATGTAACGACTAACGGCATAAATTGTAGAAATGTAGTGGAGTAGAACGTACAGATAATTGCCGCAAAATGTAATGGAGTAAAATAAAAAGTATGCATTATTATTTTTACTTAAGTAAAGTACAGATACATAAAAATGTACTTAAGTACAGTAACGAAGTATAAATACTTTGTTACATTCCACCACTGTAAAGGGGCAACGTGTGTTTTTATGCTCCTCTGAGCCACACCTGACACCTGAGGCATAAAAGATGAGAGAATCCAGCATGGGTGTGTGCAGATAAGCACAAATAAAACCATCTATCCTTAGGTACTGAACTCCTAGCTTGAATTATCCAGTGACGAAGATTCGATCTTTGCACGTATGATTAAAAGCAGATAACACATTATAGCCAGGTGTATTGTGCATTACGAATACTCCGTGAAGCTCTAATCTATTTTGCTCTATAAATGACATCCTTAAGGCTTATACCAGCCATTATAATGCATTATGGAGGTATCTATAGTTCATTATACATGGGAGCTTCATAGATCATTCATAATGTATAATAAACATGGCTATAATGTGTTATGACTTTTTAAAAATATTTATAGCTGTGTTTGTAATACTTTATAAATGCATTATAATGCATGATGAGGGTATCTATAATGCATTTATATGATTGCTTTAAGTGTTGCTGTTTTTCCGATATAACTTGGAATAATCTCTTGTGACAGTATTTGCCGAGATGTTTTCCGAGGGAGCGGGGGTCTTTAAATGGCCCTGCTTTTGTGTGTCTTCGCCCTCACGCTCTATGCCTAGCTGGCTGAATAGGTGTTGAAAGTAATCCACACTTTCTCAGGCCGGAGCTGGGAGCTGCCGCACTCAGCTTATTCTCACAGCAAATTAGTACTCAGGAGCTGTTTGTCTGCCACAAACTATCTTCTGCTCACACGTAAAGTAACGAGAGCAAAGCTTAAAAAGCTCCTTTGTGCTGGTCCTCCTCATGTTTGCTAGAGAGTAAGAGCGGCCTGGGATGCTGGGCGAGGAATTAGAAGAAAATTCTATAGCGCAAATTAGTCATTCAAGCCTGGCAATGTCTGTGATTTTACTTGGTTGGGAAAATCCAGGCACATTCCATGGGCCGAAGAATGGCACGTCCTAGCTGCGCATAGCAGCCAGGGAGCCAGGACGGGGAAGAACTCAAAACAACCCCCCAGGTCTGCAACCCTACGGAAGCATCAGCATCCTTCTCCCGGGAACCGGGCAACAACAGGCTAAACTGATGGGTACGGAGAGCTATTAGGCCTGGGGAGAAAACGAGCATCTGTGTCACTCAGCCAGTCCCCAGTTATTCCGTTCATCTCGAGTGTTCTGCTGAAAGAAGGACCCATTTAAAAGTCATTCTTTTGTATTAAGTAGTCCACTACCTTTATGCACTACAAAAACATATGGAGACCAGCCAGACAAGGCATGGAGGGTACGTTATATTTAGTGGATGCATTTATCTGAGATAATATACATGTTTTGTGACGGCAGGCTTAGGTAGTCTTTGGAGCAATTCGGGATTAAGGGCCTTACTCAAGGGCCCAATGGGGAAATTACTCTGCTGACTCTGCAATCTTCTGATTACAGGCAGAATCTCCTAACCCACTGAGCTAGACATCACCCTGTGGGGTATTACTGGTTTGTGCATTTTTACAAACATATAGGTGAGTGAGCTGGATGGCTGATATCCAGGTGCAGTTTTTCAAATAAGCTTTGAGGGAACATACCCTCAGTTAATGTTCCCCTTTCCCATAGCCCGTTCGCTGTCCCATAGTGTACAGGCGTGATGGGTTCATCTAATGGAGGATCTAAGGTAGCAGTGCCTATTAACACCCATGTTTCAATGGCATAACCCCGGAAACTGTTAAGCAGGCAGATCTGCACAACTGGTTCTGTTTTACTCATGGAGATTTTTCTCGACCAGCCGGCTGTGCGTCATTCATTCTCAAAGTGTAACAGCAAGCCCGCCGTTGCGCTTGAAGAGCTGAACTTTAGCTGGGTGCATTTTATTTTTTTCCTTAGGTGCTTCCTCCAGGACATCACAGCAAGCGATGGGGGCTCATTGCATATTTTTGCGGTATGCAAACCCAGTGTCGTAGTTGTACTTTCAACTTTCCATTCATTCATGTGCAGGTCACGGGTCCTCAAATGTAAACAGGCGTGCAAACTGAAAGATGTCAGTAAATTTGGCACATTAGGCGTCGCTACTTCTTCAAAACAGTCCTTCTGACACCTTACGATGAAGTCTCTGTGTGTAGTTTGAGAAGTGCACTTTTACACGGTTTGGTCGAAGCCTTTTCCCCACGTTTCCTGAGCTGAGGTACACTTAATAAACTTTTTCTCACTGGTGGATTTCTTTTTTCTTTTTCCAACAAAGACTCTTTCATTACTGCTTTAGACCCCCCCCCCCTTCAGCTCACCCCACCCCAAATGACACTTTACTTGTGTTATAAGAGTGTTGATCACAATGTGCTGGAAAAAGGGAGACAGAGGCAGAAACAAACAAAAAAAACTGCAAACTTTTTCTCCTGTTTGTTCATTTTCACAACTTTTCCTTTAGCCGGGTGATCAGCTTACAATTCCCATCAAGTCAGTCTGCCAGCAGGTATCTGCCCAGAATCATTTTAATTCTTCATCGACTCCTATATGCTGCATTTCCAGCACTTCTTACCCAGTTTAAATGTAGTTCTGTATGTGTCTCTATCTTAGTGCACCCCAGTACACCAGTGTGAACCAGCCCCGATCTTGTACATCACGGAAGCCCGGATTTGCATTTCTGATAAAGCCAAATCGACATTGTGAAAGCAGGTTGAGACGAACTGAGGAGAGAACAAGTCCGCATTTTCCCCAGCTGGGCTCCCTCATTATTTCCCGGGCCCCTCTGTCCAAAGGGGCGGGCTTCTCCTTTCTTCCCTCCCCAGAGCTGAGCTGGCAGTCTCCTCCCACTTCTCTGAGGGTCTGCAGCATGAGAGGCGCCCTCAGTCTTCCCGAGGCTCTCCCCGCCTACCGGTCCGTCTCTGGCTGCTTTGCTCCCTTCTGTTATCTGCTGGGCTAGTCAACTCCGTAACTGCATCAGGACTTTTCCTCTGTGGAGAGAAGTGCCTTCGGTACAGGAAAGGGAGACATTTGGGAGAAGCACCGCTTTGAACGCTACAGGTCTGTCAGCACCTTCTCTTACTTTCCAGCTCGTATGGCAATTTCCGGTCGCACTGCTGTGGTCTCTTCCCCTCGTGTGCGTGTGGCTTTCTGAGTGCCCATCCTCGTAACGGGGAGCCCCTGACAGCAAGGTCTCTGACTTGTGCACTGCTGAGGAGTTTTTCTGGATTGGCTGCGATACTCAGACCTTTGCAGCGTGTGGACGCGTGTCCTCAAAGTTGTTGAAGGCAGTTTGCCGTCTGACTTTTGAGAGGGAAAGGACTTCTTAGGTGTGCTGATCTTCTACTGGTTTCTTTGGGTTTAATAGTCATTTTTAGTGTAAGACTTGAATTTGTTTTCTGAGTTAAACCTCAGCTTGGTATCCACACCTGAGGGTGGGGGAGCGGAGAGTGTAAAAGGATTTAGTTCACAAGGTTGCCTTGATTGGCCACAAATCAGCCAGAATTACCAGACCGACAGGTAAAGCATCCTAAATAATTCCTTAATTAATATTGTGATGCAAATAGCAGTATGAACCATGTCAGTAAACATCTCTGACTCAGATCTACAGCATTTATTTTGCTTGGGAGCTGAAACATATAAACAAAACACCTGAGTTTCCGGTAGATGCAGAAGTGGATGGAGGTCATCACCCTGCTGCCTGCCATCTGTGGCATGTTCAGCTGCATTCTGCCTTTCCTCAGATCCATCCTGGGTCTGTTTTCACAACCTGAATCCTAGATTTGTATTTATTTTTGGCTCAATTTCTTGGGTTATTCCAATAGGAAATGATGGCTGGGTTTGTACCAGGATTCTGTCTTCCGTGTCAGAGGTGTAAAGTTCAGGTCCAGAAAGTAAAAATCCGGACCAAGATTTTGTTTCAACCAACCAGTTGAGTACTCTGTGACTGTGACTCTTTATTCTCAACTGGTTGGTTGAAACAAAACCTTGGTCCAGATTTCTACTTTCTGGACCTGAAGTTTCCACCTCTGTTGCTTGTGCAAAGCTTCTCTCATCCTATAGCTGCCCTGACTCTTGATGTCCCTCTAGGGTGGCATGTGTGACTCCTGTCCATGCTTATACTCTCCCCAGTGAGGTCCCCTTGTTCGAAACTGGGAGGGGTGAACCAGGCCGGCCGGGAGTGAGCAGCACCAGCAGCAGCCATGACCCAGAGTAACGGGGAGAACCCGCGCTCTCGGAGCAGGGTCCAGCAGATCCGGGAGGGCATTCACCTGCGCTCTCTGAAGGCCAAGAAGAAGGTGGAGGACATCACCAAGGACGATGTCAAGAGCTTCCTCAGAAGGAATGCTTTTGTCATCTTCACCGTCGCCGCTGTCATCATCGGTAGGTGGAAACCTGTAGAAACTACTGAGGTTCTTCCCCAAGATGTACAGCATGACTTAAGGGACACCATGCAATTTGCTGTGCAAAGCAAGAGGCAACAATGTTTAAAGAAGCGCTTGCAAAATAACAAATGAATGAAAACTTGAGTAGTAATTACTTTTAAGACATGCCTGTATTCCTTTAAATTTGGGGGGCTGCTGTTGGATCCATAATGTGAACTGCTGCAAAAATGGGGGAATCGAAGAAGTTTGGAGGGAAGGGTCACAGCCAATCAACTGGAACAATGAGAGGGACACAGATGGCCTGACGCCAGCACTTTACTGCTCAAACAAACAAAAATGATTCTGTTTGCAATAGCTGCATATGCAGTGTATGTGACAGTATTAATTACGATCGTATTTATATGGAGTTACTTAAAGGAGCTGCAAGGTCACAGAACGTAGACAAGAGCTGCATGTTTTGAAAGCTTATTTTTGCATGAAGTCCAGCTGTAATATTGGCTAACAGTCAGGTGTCTCCTGACAACTATGAGAAAAACACTGTATTTTAAATGGCACTGAACTTACAAGAAGACAAGAGCATGGGTGCTGTAAAGGAGGGAAAAGTTAGGACGTCTCCAAGGGCCCCTGAGTGACAGGGGCCCCTAAAAACAATTGGAACATTATTTGATTGGTCTGGGTTGGGGGCCTAATATGATATGCTTTCATGGGGCCCAAAATCTCTAGCGGCACTCCTGGACAGGAGATGTAAGTGCAATTCAATTCAAGCACTTTATTGTCATTGTGTAACACAACAAAATTACTTTTAGGTGCATTAATAAATACAAAATCACTGAGACATTTACTGAGAAGTGTCATCAAACAGTGTTTTACTGCAAAGGCCATCTGGAGCCTCAGAGGCTGGCTGCTGCTGCTGTGAAATGCTTCTGGATTTGAGCGGTGTCACCTGAAGCACAACGCGGTCATGTCTGCACAGGCGTGTCGAGCTGACTGGAAACACACTGACGCATTCCTTACCGACATGCAAAAAGGATGTAGCCAGAGGGCCCGTGTAGGGATAGGTGGAGAGGCTGCTGATTTTTGAAAGGTGTCTATAAGTATTACCAGTCACATAAACACACTGTTCGTTTCACATCTGAAATCCTGTCCACAGAAGTTCTGTAGTTCACGGTTAATTTAAGCGAACGGAAAAATGTTTAATGTGTCATGTTTCTGGTGGAAACCAAAGTATTAAAGTGTCCATACTGGACTGGTGTGCTTTTCAGGCATAATGCTGGGTTTTTCCCTGCGGCCATACAAGATGTCATACCGTGAAGTGAAGTACTTCTCCTTCCCTGGTGAGCTGCTTATGCGGATGCTGCAGATGCTTGTGCTCCCCCTGCTGGTCTCCAGCCTCATTACAGGTATGTTCATTGGCTGAATTCTCCCTCTGCTGGTCTAGCTGTAATGTTGCCTGTACCCTGGATTTCAGGATTGCTGCAGTCGGTCTCACCTTAAAGACTCAAAGACTGTGTCGTGCTGTGCTGTGACTTGATGAGAGAATCGCTCATGAAGCAGTGGTTTAACATCTGACCACCGAGTGTAGCTGTGTAATGGTTTTAAGGTCTTGCTGAAACATTGACACCTCAATAGCCGGGATGAACTGGGAGAGAGCTCACTGAACTCTCTGTGAAAGTCTCGGCTTAAGAAAAGTCATCGGGAGATAAAAATCACCTCAGACAAAAGACGTTGAATCTCTCAGGAATATCAAATTATAGAATACAATGAAAACGTAATCACATCACCAGTTCTTCCTTTTATGAAAAAAAAAAAAATCAGTTCACGCAATTGGCTCTCATGTGCAATTGTCAAGTGAGTTTCATTCCGTTTGACTGGGTTGAATTTCCACAAGCACCCCAGAGATTTGCCCCCCATTCAGGCAGTCTGTCACAAAAAGTCACTGTTTTCTCAAGTGTACTCAGTTACATCCCGGGAGCAGCACTGCGGGCTGCTTTTAGGGCCGCAGATGGGGGCGCTTCGGGGCCGTGTCATGACCTCTCATGAATGTCTTTGTATGCTTTGGCACAAGCGCGGCATGCTTGTGACACGCACCTGTATGGATAACTGAGTGTTTGATCTGGCTCAGGCCGCCACGTTTGCCGCTCTCTGTGTCTTTGACTCCACGTGGACTGATTGGAGAGGCTGGCTGCTTTTAGGGCACTGAGGAATTTCCCTCTTCTAAGTGGACTGCAGTACATTACAGATTCCAGGTTCTTTGGAGTAGACCTTCACAAGACTGCCAGTGATTAGCCATTTGTCAATGAGTCTATCTTGAACTTTTAGGGAATCCATGTGATTGTGCCTCGTTGTTGGCGTTCTCGTGCCCTTTGCCCTTCGGCCTTTACAGAGGTGTGTCTGTTGTGTCCACCTGAGGTCCAGGAGTGGTATAGGTAGCTCCTACAGGTCCTGCAAAAGCTGGCTAATGCTTTCAGAAGCAGCTGTAGATCATCATGTCATAAAATGGATCATAAGGTAACCACTGGTAGCACATTGGTATTGTATTAAAAAAGTAAAGGGAGTAAGGAATATGGTGTGACCAGGTAAGAGTGATGTCGTTGTGAGATTCCCAGGTACTGCTGGCGTGATGAAAAGGGGCCCTATATCCAGTAGCCCATTGTTTAAGTCTTGTGCTATCCGGCGGGAGGGGATGACGTCATCGGTAGGGCCTCGTTAGGGTCACAATGGAGACCTGTCACATGCTGTCTCCCACTGAACCAGCGCTCCTCACACCCATTGCTTGCTTCTGTCTGCTGCAACAATGGTCCCCTTGTCTGTGTAAATTTATTTAAGTTCTCAGTATGAACAAACCGCATGAATGGTGTTGATTGGAAATGTGCATTTGTGTCTCAACCAACTGCCACCTGGTTATCGTCACATTTGCTTGTTTTGTTTTTTGCTGTTATCAAGTGACAATCGGTAAATAACCGGCGGACTGATGTAGCTGATTGCTTCAGACGCAGTGTGGGGGAGAGGTCTGTGGTTGTTGTAAGACGCATTTACTCCCCGCTAACTAAAACACAGATGTGCATACTATTTAGAAATCAGTTTTTAGTTTTGACCTCAGATCAGCCATTTAGTTGTGGGGAAGTGAGGACCTGGAATGAGGTGTGGGGGCGGTTCCATTTTAAGCCACTCCTGTGACTCTCCTCTATCACAGGTCTCAGCTCAGCTTGATGAGCAGATAAACCAGCCAATAGGAAAAGGGGGTAAAAGTCATCGCCCATAACTGACCTCGGGCTGCACAGGTTACTCAGGCTCAGCGGAACTCTGTCGCCTGAATAGTTCTATACCTATTCCTCAGTACAACTTGGCTTGCCCGTTCTGGCAGGGGGACAGTCAGCTCTTTGTGCTATACTGGGAGCACAGGCAAGCGAGGGAGCTTGAGCAAAAAAGATGACTACTGCTATGTTGGTCTAGGACTGTCAGCTGTTGCTAATCTGCAATGTGGGACTTGTGATGAGACTCCATCCTGCTCTGCTTCACACACATAAAGGGCAGAAATTAACCTCCGTCTCCTCCTTCAAAGCCATATTGTTTCCCGGAATTCCATGGGGGGCACACAATGGCCGATTGACGGAGCGGGAGGGGTGATGGAGAGAAGCCCGTTGGCAGAGCCAGCTTACCGGGCTTGTTGGCATACGACTGACCTCAGTCCAGTTCCCATTGCATCATTAAGGCTTATCACAGAGCAACCAGTACATCTGTTTACATGTACAGGAATTCTTATTGATCATATGGGTTTGCAGTTGGCGTCCATATTGGATCACGAAATAGCTGATGATTAAATATTTGATTTAAAAAATGAATGTCTACCAAAAATATGGAAACTAATGAGTTTGTGGAGGACTTTAGCGTGTATATTTTTCAGTGATGTTTTCTAATCTTTCATACAGATGTTGCGTCGTGTGTTTGCCTGCTAAGATGAGACATTAGCATCGTCGCTAACATGCTGGTAACACGTTCACACACATTGCTCAGCCTCGGTGCTTTACACTTTTCCTTCATCAAGAATATAAGAGAGACAGACAAAGTAGCCCAGAGCGAGGGGCCATTTTATTTATTCTTTTGTCCATGTAGTTGCCCCCTCAACGTTTCCATTTGGCGAGAATGTGCCATTTCTTTGGTGGTGGGGATGTGATTGTAGAGGCTGTGTTTGCTGTTGCTGGGACAACGACGTTGTGGGACCGTGGCAAGCGGACAATTTTCCCAGGCTTGTCA